TCTAACACCGACACCCAATCGTACCAAAACATCAACATTCCAATTCTTTTCACAATACTACTAATATCTTTGGGTTCTGATTCTGCCTCTCAATTCACAAATACTTAACAATATTAACGACATTCAACAACCACCTATATGATTCCAACAACAAAATTCACAGCAATCCATCACTCCAACATTACTCTGGACAACGATAGCACACACAATGGTAACTTAACACTAACTACTTCACGATCAACATGCAGTGTTAAAATAATTATAACCATCTGAGATCTACCTTCTAAGAGTTATCCTACCTACTTAATAGATATCTTATAGCATAAGAACATGCACCGACTCATCAAAATAACTCGTAATCATTTTGTCTAACTCCAAACAGTTCACTCCAAAGATAACATTAAGTCAATCCAACATCTCTTTCTAATGAAAAGTCACAATTTACCCCGGGAAGACATCAGAAACCATCCACAATTGGCATATCATCAGCCATAACATCGTCCTTCACTTCTATAGATGTGAACAACACAAGTACCTGATTATTCCCTCTCACAGATCCTTCGACTGACCGCTAAGCATAATTCTCGAATCCATACTTCCTTTGAAATTAGAAAAATAACCCAGTAACACTAACGTCTGCATCCATAGAATTCACAATATACTAAACCAATTGTTCACACCTGAACATCTCAGAGAGGCATACGTTTCTCCTCCACTTGTTTCAATTTCACTCTTGCAAATAAGTGATTAGAAAAACAAGAAAGCACTGACATTGTTTCACACACATGTCGTGTACTAAGAAACAATACATCGACAGTATTCAACTGTCGTACTACACTGACTCGACAACTTGGCCGGAAGGACCGACCAGCTCTAATACCACTAACATAACACCTTATTTTCCCATCGATAATTTAACAAAATCATTGTAAATTAAAATTTTAAATCAACATCAAATAGGATGTCACATTCATTCAACATCATACAAATTGCTCAAACATTTAACAAATGGATACAAAATACACTTTTTTCGGATGAACCGACAACATCTCAAAACATGGTTCTCAACTTCTACTTTATTAACGTAGCCGAAAGGAAATTCATAAATTATTCTCAAGATCTTCAACTCATCATAAATCAACAAATTAATCAAATAAAAGAGAGTTTATAATGCTCTCACTATCTTTTAAAAAAAATAACAACTGAATAAGCAAACAAGCGTTCATCTCCGGCGTTACGTGTCAGAGCAAGATCTGACTCAATCTATGCAATACGAGGCGCAACTCCATACCTCAAGCAACTCTAATCCTTGTCACCTGCGTGTTACCCACGTGGAGGTAACATTCAAACAGAAGGGGTGAGATATCATAACAATATAAACGAAAATATGATTATGAATAGATAAACTATAACATACATAATCATAATATTTATATTTCATACGTCAACACCAATACACGTCACAGTTTCAACAATCACACCCAACAATCATATAAATCACATCTTATTAACTAACAACATCATGAACGCAGTGAGACCAACTTCACCGACTATATGCATGTGGTACCATAACAACATCTCTTTGTCATTTAGGCCACACTGTCACTTATCATTAAGGCTACATCATCGCTTGCCATTGAGGCTACATCGCTTCTTATGAACATGCATGCAACACAAATATGTTACAACAAATTATGCAATAACACGATACACATCAACAGGATAAGCCAACACGGGCCACCAATTACCCATAGCTATTCATACATTGTTGCAACATCGTCATAGCATGAAATCTCATCGATTCCATCATCATATTCACCACTTCATATTACATCAAAATACCGGAATAATACAAGAATCCTTAAAATAATCTCATATTGTTTTAAAATTATTTTTATTAGATAGAATATATTTTTAGCTTCACGTGAGTTCAAACGGAGCATCAAACGAACACCTGAGTCCAAAGTTATGAAATTTTCAATTTTACAAAAATGTTGTCCAACACAGTGGTAACCGGTTACTGCATGAAACATTAGCGAATTACTCAGAAACCTTCAGCGGTAACCGCTTACCAATACCAGTAGCCGGTTACTGTACATAAAACAGTCCCAGTATTTTCCAAAATTACAACGGGTAGTCGGTTACTCAATTCCACTAACCGGATACCACTAAACCAGAGCCCAAAAATCATTATATTTTCCTGCTACGAGATCTCACTTCTTTAACCCAAAAATTACTTTTGAAAACACATTAAAACACACAAATTTCTACAATTTTCAATTAACATCATGTACAACAATTCAAAAAAATTTACCACATCAACGTTCATCAACAAATTTTACCACAAATACACATAATTAACCTAAGAACTCATCAATGGGTAAAACCCCAACAAACTCAAATAAGGACAATCAAGAACATACAATTATATAACCTAACTCTACCATAATCCACCATCATATAATCCCTTATAGAGTTAGAACCCCACCCTTACCTTGGTTGATGATTCTTTACGCAATCTTCTTGCCCTAGCTTAGTGTTCTTCTCTTTTTCCTCGTTCTCTCTTTTCTCTGGTTTTAATAATCGAATAATAATTGGGACTCTTTTTCCTTGTTTTTCCCAATAATAACCTTTAGACTCCTAAATCATAATCTACATCTTACCCTTCCTTATTTTTAAATAATTAATTAATTAACCAAATTATAAAATTACTAACTATATTATTATTACCATTAAAATAATAATTAAGATAATATTAATAATAATTCTAATTACACTATAATATAAACACCCACTTTTAATCCTTACATCTCGTCACAACTACCCTATATCAAGGTCTTCTATCTCATAGATCACATCATCGCACACTCAACACACTACATCACCTATTTTTAAACTATAAAAATAAATACGATAAAAACGGAGCGTTACAACAAACACCGTTCATACGCACAATCAAAATAGAAGGATTACTCGACCTATGAGGTTGGTTCCTCACCAAAGATAACCACTCTTCAGTCCATTATTTCTTGCTCGAGAGGAATATGCTCCGACAAGGTTTTCACTATGGAATGGAAGATATCTACATGTTCCAAAGCATTCTTAAAAGAAGCATACATAATGGTGGAATTAAACTTCACTACTTTCACATACTCTATCTTTGGATGAGCAAGTATGAGAGTGCAACCTAAGAGGCAGGGCTGAATTAGAACTGTCAGATTTTTATCGTTTTTGTATTTACTTATTTGGATATGATAAAGTGATGTTCTTAGCAAGATAAAATAAATTAATTAATTAATTAAAATGCATAAAATGAAAATGACATAAGGAATTATCCTAGTTCTCCAATTCAACCAAGGGTACATCTAGTCATTTCACACCTTAAAAAATTTTCTACTATGTTAGATCTTCATACAATCTTCTAACGCAACAAAGAAGCGCATCACTTTCTTGATTTCACAAACACCAAACCTATGGTTTACTTTGAATTTCCCCGATTCAAAGAATCTTTTACAACATTCGCCAAAACACTTTGATGTTCACACCAAAAATTATAGTGTACGTACAATACAAATTTTGAATAGAATATGAATAATCTTTTTAACATGGGTTGAATTTCAAGATAAAAAATTTTGCTCTTCTTTTCTACTTTAACACAATTCGAAGTATAATATTTTAAGTGCTCTTGACAATGAACAAAACTTTTCAAATATATGAAATTTTGTGCTTAGAGTTTCATGACTTAAAATAATGGATAAATATACAAAGTCTTTTGAATTGTATGAAAAAATGATCAATAGAAGAGGTTAATGAAAAATATGATGAAAAATGGTTTAAATATATCCCATGATGCCTCTTAGAATAAATGCAAAAGTTTAAAACATTTTTATGAAGGTTTTCAATGATTTAGAAAGAAAATGGTTCAAAAAACGTAAATTATGGCGGCTACAAAGGTGCCATAGAGATCCCGAATAAATTCAAATTTTACATTCTGGATCTAAATTGCGTAAATTGCATGGTTCCAAACTTCCACAAAAATTCAGAAAAAATTCAAATTTTAAATATTTGTTCAAACATATGTGAATTGTGATGGTTTCAAACTGCCACAGTTTACGAAAAACAAAATAAATTTAAATTTAAATGGCATAATGGATATCTAATCTATTGGATGAATAATGCAATTGACTGTACTCAACTAAAACTTAATTTTTTTTTCATTTTTAAAAGACTTAGAATGAAATGTCTTATGTATGAATATTTGAAAAACTTTATAGAAGAATAGATGAAGAATTTTGAGCACCTAAAGTTTATATGCATATGAACCGCCGTTGTACCTTAAGCTTCATGATTCAATCCTTTGATTTCCAAAACTTATGTAATCTTGATACTTGATTTCAATATTTTTCTTTTTTTGATCTTTTTTCATTGGTAAGTTTTTGTCTTCATCAAAATTAAGCTAATATAGATGAAAAACATCTTTTTCAGAAAGTAAACCTTTTTAAAATTGCATCTCACGCAGCTCATTTTAAGCTGCTTTGAAGCCATTTCGGGATTCACTTAGGGTTTTCTCCATGTCCCATACCATGTTATGAAAAAGAATCTAAATCCCCTTTATATTGGATAAAGCAATATTTGTATCAAACAATGGCTTTTGAACTGATGTCAAGGTTTTTTCTATCATTGATCTTTGATTTAACTGATTTGATCGATTTGATTGGAACAACATTCAAGTGAAAAATGTCAAAAGTGTCAAAAGGTAGAGGTGTGTGCCACTATTGAAGCAGTTGCAAAATCAAATGAAATTTCTTGCAGTTGTTTACGAAGTTGTGAGAGTGACAAAAACTTGTTTTCCATCTTTGATTTCTTCCATAGATAATAAATAATAGAGTAAATCTTAAGAAAATGCTGTGGATCAAAAATCACTGCCAATTCATTTATCTACATCACGAATGTTACATATTATGTATCAAAAGATAATTTTAAAATTATATATTGGTTAATCATGTGGTTAGTGCATCCGGAAGTGAATTTTGTGCTCCAAGAATTTTGCCACCAACATCAGGAAAATACTCATGACCCTCCAATGAACTAACTTTTCCATTTCTGCTAACATAAACTGGATATTGCATCAAGTTTCCCCTCATTTGATGATGACCTTCTTCAGACACATATGAGCTCCAATTTTTTCTAGCAATTCTATTCACAAGTCGTACACATTCCAGCGTGCGAGGTTCAGTAAATGTCTCATCAAGACTACCAAGGTGCTCGGCCCAAAGTGACATTCTGTATCCGTACACCTGCATCAACACAATAACATGATATTACATAACCGATATTGTTAAGCTGGAGACTTTGTTCCTGACTGAAACTCAGGGACTCGCAGTTGTGTCTGAGCTTCTAGTGGTTATTGTCACTTCGTCTAAAGATTAAGAAAAATGTTCAATTTTTAGTTGTGTTACTCGAGATTCAAACCTGGCCACGTGGAAGAGAGTTGTTTTCTGCTAATGTATATTTTGGTTGATAAGCCCCCATGGCTATTTCCGTGTCTCTTGATCCATCCATTGATCTCTGATTAATATTTGCGGATCCAATTATTACATATTCGTCATCAACTATCATTCCTTTTGCATGAACATAAATCATAAAACGTCTGTATTTTTTAACTGATGCCTGATTAAAGAAAGAACGGAAAATAAATCAATATGTAAATATGCACCGGTTGATCATTGATCAAACAGGCATTGTTGTTTCAAATGTATGAATTGGAATCCCTTGATAGAAGGAATCTGAATTGAAAAACAAAAGGGTCAAGGTTATTATACCAAGGCGCGATTTTCAGACGATTGAGTTGGCATTGATGGAGATTCGCACGATTGAGGTTCTCTCTTTCCAAGACAATAAAAATTTAGATAATCTTGGGGATGGTAACATTCAGAGAGACCTGCTTTTGCAAGTGCATCTGCAACAATCTTGTACATCATAGACATTGTCTGTCCCTGCCAGAACAAGATTTCTTGAACAGCAGCACTAGTTGGTACTCCTTCTGGCCACATTGGTATAACTATATAAACAGAAAATCGCTCGTTCGCACTTATCTTGCTCGCAATTTTTAATGCTATCTCCATCGGAACCAAGTGATTTGCGCCTGTTGAGGAAAACAAATTAAAAGAAAATACTCATCAATGTAATAAGCCTTTAAACCATATTGTAATGTTTTTAGATGCATTTATATATTATGACATTGTTAAAAATTTATCTACCTGCATTTTTATAGGAAGGCCAATGATATGAAGAGCCAAGAAAATATTGATTCTCGATATAAATGAAGCGTTGAGCCAATCTTATTGCTTTTATGTAAGCCGCATGAATGCTTTGATCAACTTTTAAATTTTTGCCACACAGAAGATGCTGCAGAAAGTTAAGTATAATAATAGAAGTTAAAGATAATGTGGGATTTTGGATCGAACTCTAGTTGGTCGAAGTACTTGCTGTAGTCGAAGAAGGTTCTAGCATGTATTTGTCGAAGGATGCTTGTCGAATTAGGTTTTAGTGTTTAAACCCTAATTTGTTAAGTTAGCTTGTTTGTTAAGTTAGCTTGTATAATGGGCCTTGTGGAAAAAGCCCATTATTTAGTATGTTAGGTTTTATTATAAATAGCATACTAGTCTCTCATCATTGCATCACAGCAAATCCTAATTAGGGTGAGAGGGTTATTTGTTATTCTTGTAAACTTGTAATCTTGTTATCAAAGAGAAAGTAAAGAATAGCAGTTATAACCAATTCTTGTGTTCTTCTTCTTCCTTGTTCTTTATTCTTCCCTTATTCTATACTTTGTTATTGGCATTGAATTCACAACAAATTGGTGCGGTGAGCGTGGAGAAGATGCCTTCGACAAAGTATGAGATCGAAAAGTTCACCGGAGTGAATGATTTCGGTCTATGGCGCTTGAAGATGAAAGCCCTACTGGTTCAGCAGGGTTGTTTGGAAGCGTTGAAGGGAGCGACGTCGATGGACGCTGCGTTAACAGAAAGAGAGAAGACGGCCATGATCGAGAAAGCACACAGCGCAATTTTGTTGAGCCTTGGTGATAAGGTTCTTCGACAGGTATCAAAGGAGACGACGGCATCAGGGTTATGGGTGAAACTTGAAAGTTTGTATATGACCAAATCTCTGGTAAATCGACTCTACCTGAAGCAAGCTTTGTATTCATTCAAGATGATTGAAGACAAAGTGTTGGCTGAGCAGTTGGATATGTTCAACAAGCTGATTCTTGATCTTGAAAATATTGATGTAAAGATTGATGATGAAGATCAAGCGCTGTTATTATTGTGCGCCTTGCCCAGATCACATGCTCACTTCAAAGAAACCCTCTTGTATGGAAGAGAGTCCCTGACCTTTGAAGAAGTTCAATCAGCTTTGTACTCTAAGGATTTGAACGAACGTAAGGAGCATAAACCTTCGACGGTTGGTGAAGGTTTGGCTGTTAAAGGAAAATTCGACAAGAAGAAAGGTAAAAATCAGTCGAAGTCTTATAGTGGTGACACATCTGGTATTAGATGCTATCACTGTAAGAAAGTAGGTCACACAAGAAAGGTGTGCCCTGAACGCCTGAAAGATCATGGAGGTAAGGATAATGGCAATGCAGCTATTGTCCAAGATGATTTCGAATCATCTGATGTTCTTGTGGTTTCAAGCAAAAACTCATCGAAGGAATGGATTATGGATTCTGGATGCACTTGGCACATGACTCCAAACAGAGACTTGTTCGAGGAATTACGTGATCAAGATGGTGGATCGGTATTGCTGGGAAACAACAAAGCTTGCAAGATTGCAGGCGTTGGATCTGTGAGATTCAAGCTCCATGATGAGTCAATAAGATTGTTGACTGAAGTCAGGTATGTACCTGATTTGAAGAGAAATTTGATTTCTCTTGGTGAATTCGACAAGAAAGGATATGTTTTTCAAGGAGAGAAAAGTATCCTGAGAGTCATGAAAGGGTCGAAGGAAGTCTTGAGAGGCGTGAAGAAACAAGGCTTGTATACCCTTGAGGCTGAAGTTGTAAGTGGTTCGACAAATGTTGCATCCACGAAACCTTTGTCGAAGACAGAAATTTGGCACATGAGATTGGGCCATGTCAGTGAAAGGGGTCTGGTCGAATTAGGGAAACAAAATCTGCTTGGTGGAGATAAAGTCGAAAAGCTGAAGTTTTGTGAACCCTGTGTACTTGGAAAATCCTGTAGAATGAAGTTCAACAAAGGCAAACAAAGAACACATGGATCCCTTGATTACATCCATGCTGATCTTTGGGGGCCTGCAAGGTGTCCATCACATTCAGGAGCAAAGTATTTTCTATCCATAGTAGATGACTATTCCAGAAAGTTATGGGTATTCATCCAGAAGACTAAGGATGAAACTTTTGAGAATTTCAAAAGTTGGAAGACTCTTGTCGAAAATCAAACTGGCAGAAAGGTAAAAAGGTTGAGAACCGACAATGGCCTTGAGTTTTGCAATGAGGCGTTCGACAGTTTTTGTGTTGCCTCTGGTATTGCAAGGCACAGAACTACCGCAGGTACTCCACAACAAAATGGTTTGGCTGAAAGGTTTAATCGAACTATTTTGGAGAGAGTTAGATGCATGTTGACTAGTGCGGGATTAAAGAAGGTGTTTTGGGCTGAGGCTGTTTCGACAGCAGCATATCTGATAAACAGATGTCCTTCGACAGCGTTAGATATGAAGACACCTGAAGAAGTTTGGTCAGGACATCCACCAGATCTCGACAAACTAAGAGTATTTGGCTGTGTAGCCTATGCTCACATTAGGCAAGACAAGGTCGAACCTAGAGCTCTGAAATGCATGTTTATGGGATACCCTGAAGGAGTAAAAGCTTATAGGCTATGGTGCCTAGAGCCAGGTCACAGGAGGTGTATCACCAGTCGAGATGTAGTTTTCAATGAAACTGAAATGGCTTTCAAGAAAACTGATGATGTTGACGAAGAGCTGGAACAGGTAGAGATTCCTGTTGAGGTGGAGCATGTTGATGCTGAAATGCGTATCCCAGATGAAGTCGAAGAAGAAACAGAATATTCTGATGATATTGAGGAAACTGTTGATGACTACCTATTGTCGAGAGATAGGCAAAGAAGAGTCATAAAACCACCTCAGAGACTTGGATATGCAGATCTTGTAGCTTATGCCTTAATCTCTGCAAGTGAAGTTCTAGACGAAGAACCTAGAGATTATAAGGAAGCTATAAGGAGTCGAATGAAGACTGAATGGCTAAAGGCCATGCATGATGAGATGAAATCTCTTCATGATAATCACACTTGGGAACTAATCAAGAAACCTGTTGGGGCAAGGTTAGTCAGCTGTAAGTGGATTTTCAAAGTTAAGGAAGGAATTGAAGGAGTAATGTCGAAGAGGTACAAGGCAAGATTAGTCGCAAGGGGTTTCACTCAGAAAGAAGGTGTCGACTTCAATGATGTATTTTCCCCTGTTGTGAAGCACAGATCCATCCGAATGTTGCTTGCCATGGTGGCTCAGTTCGACCTTGAACTGGAACAAATGGATGTGAAGACTGCGTTCTTGTATGGTGACTTAGATGAAACAATCCTGATGAGGCAACCTGAAGGGTATGTCGAAAAGGGGAAAGAAGATTATGTGTGCAAACTGAAGAAATCTTTATATGGACTTAAACAATCTCCTCGACAGTGGAATAAGAGATTCGACAAGTTCATGGAACACATAGGTTTCATTCGAAGTCAGTTCGACCATTGTGTTTACTCCAGATTTCGACCTGAAAATTCATTTGTTATTTTGTTGCTTTATGTTGATGATATTCTGATAGCAAGCAACAATGTCGAAGATGTAATGAGGGTGAAGGCTGAACTCAATAAGGAGTTCGACATGAAGGATCTGGGAGCTGCATCCAGGATTCTTGGAATTGACATTCGAAGAGATAGAAAGCAGTCGAAATTATGCTTATCTCAAGAGGCATACCTACGAAAGATTCTTGACAAGTTTGGTATGTCGAACTCAAAGCCTGTTGTGACTCCAACGAACCCTCAATTCAAGCTGAGTATTGATCAATGTCCCAGTACTGAAGTTGAAAGAACATATATGAATAGCATCCCATATGCTAATATAGTTGGTTCTTTGATGTATGCTATGGTCTGTACTAGACCCGACATAGCATATGCAGTAAGTCTTGTAAGCAGGTACATGGCGAATCCTGGAAAGGCTCACTGGCAAGCGTTAAAGTGGATTCTAAGGTACATAAATGGGTCTCTGAATAGAGTCTTAATTTATGGTGGAGCCTTGGGTGAAGATAGTAAAGCAGCTGTCGAAGGCTATGTTGACTCTGATTATGCAGGTTGTATGGATTCTAGAAAATCTATTTCTGGATATGTTTTCACTATGTTTGGTACAGCAATTAGTTGGAAAGCAACTCTTCAGAAGGTTGTTGCCTTATCAACTACTGAAGCAGAATATATTGCCCTAACTGAAGCTGTGAAAGAAGCATTGTGGCTTGAAGGTTTTGCAAAGGAACTGAAACTTCAAGGTCAAGGTATCACTGTTAAATGTGATAGTCAAAGTGCAATACACCTGTCGAAGAACTCAGCCTATCATGAGCGAACCAAGCACATAGATGTGAGGCTGCATTTCGTCAGAGGGGTAATCGAGCGTGGAGAAGTCCAAGTGCTGAAGGTCTCGACAGAACACAATGCCGCTGATATGATCACCAAAACATTGCCAAGTTGCAAGTTTTTCCACTGTATGCAGTTGATAAGGCTGCATGAAGAAAGCTAGTTAGTGTCTCTTGATGCTGTAGAGTTAGGTCCATGGTGGAGATTTGTGGGATTTTGGATCGAACTCTAGTTGGTCGAAGTACTTGCTGTAGTCGAAGAAGGTTCTAGCATGTATTTGTCGAAGGATGCTTGTCGAATTAGGTTTTAGTGTTTAAACCCTAATTTGTTAAGTTAGCTTGTTTGTTAAGTTAGCTTGTATAATGGGCCTTGTGGAAAAAGCCCATTATTTAGTATGTTAGGTTTTATTATAAATAGCATACTAGTCTCTCATCATTGCATCACAGCAAATCCTAATTAGGGTGAGAGGGTTATTTGTTATTCTTGTAAACTTGTAATCTTGTTATCAAAGAGAAAGTAAAGAATAGCAGTTATAACCAATTCTTGTGTTCTTCTTCTTCCTTGTTCTTTATTCTTCCCTTATTCTATACTTTGTTATTGGCATTGAATTCACAACAGATAAAGACTAAATGTTTTCAGAATAACTAGAAATCACATTGCAACACAAATTAAGGTTAAAAAATGACGAAGCACGTACAATCTTGTTCTCACCTGAGCCTTTGCTTTGTCGAAATCCTTTGGAAATCCCTTCACGGATCCTGAATCTATGGACCGAAATACCTGTATTTAATACTTGTTCATAATAATCTTTAATCATCTAACGACTATAATTGATTGACATTGTATACCAATTAAATCAGTAATATATAGATACCTGTACGTGCCAACTCTCAGGATCAGATTCTTCGGTTACATGAACGCATTTATCACCATCAGGACCAGAAGATGGTTTGACAATCCACGAAATACGGTCTAGCCTTAGCAAAGCATCGTCATGCCAATTCGTCACCTTTCGGAGTCTGAAATCGCGCCATTTTTTAGCCTTCCGTGATCTTTGTTCAAAATTGGTCAGTATATCATATGCAGCCGGACCTTCAATTTTGCAATGTAAGTCATGCCATGGTTGCCTTGGTGCAGAAGAATTAGAATTTAACTGCATTATACAATTTCAATACATTACTACTTGATGTCAATTTCAAAGATTTTTCTGCTTTGTGAAGATATAAACTTCGGTGTTTACATTAACAACTTACTTGAAATGTAGGATTATGATAATCATTTTGAAAGACGGTATCGAGATCATGAAAAATTCTATGCTCAGGTGTATCATATCTGCCATCACATAGATCTAGACCACCGAGAAATGCGGTTATTTTCCGATTATTGCCAGAACCTTGAGTGTCTAAAAGCACACATTTCTGGTGATGCGTAAAGAGGGTTCCAACAACCTGGACCAAAAGATTGAACGGAATTGCTGTACTATACTAACTGAAAAGGAAGAAAAAAAGTACTAGTTCTGATCTTGATTATAAACAAAAAGAACTAACTTCACCTGTTGCTTGAAAATACTGAGTTTATTGCTTGCATAACGTGGAGATAATACACAATGAACTGTTGAATGTTTAAAAAACTTTTTAGTTTCTTCATCATGAGTCTGCATAACACCATCCTGCAATCAACACAATCAATCATTACTAAGTAAACTAAAACTTAAAATTTAAGGAATTTTAGTGGAATGAGAATTACTGTTTTCAAAAGAAACTTGTCATGCGAAGTTCTATCATCCCAAATCAGCATAACAACTCTTAACCCTTCTTGTGACTTGTACTTCAACAACTCTCCAAGTGAAAGCTCTCCACCTGAAGGCAAAGGTTTCGTAGGCTCGCGAACAAGCTTCACAGGATGAAAAATTGACCATCCAATAATATATATCATATGATGAGCTTCCAAAATCGCGTGACAAATATCCTCCCAACATTTACTATGCTGAAAAAATTTTCCATCTTCAAGTTCAATTTGCGGTAGCATACCGTCCGGTACATGCGCATCTTGATAAAGCGTGACATGCCCGCCTTTCCTAAGCGGAAAATATGAATCAGGAACACCGTAATCAACACCTCTCTTTTTCTCGTTACCACTACCAATTGGCTTATACTGAATTGAAATATGCAATTCAGGATAAGGTTTTAAGCAGCTTCCATATTGACCAATAATCGGAAACCAATCATTAACAGTGTTACCAGAAAGTATCTTCTGAACAGGTATGTCCACAACTCCAATAAGTTCAGCACCAAGAATATCATTATCTTTTACTAAAAACTCAACTTTCTGAACAGGATGAGCAACAGGAACAGTATAATGTTCATCCCATAAAGGGTTTTCGCAATTCGGAATGACTCTTGTTTGCGCTATAGTTGCAGTGGCTAAACAAACAGATACATAAGGATCACTTGTTATGATCTTATCTTTTCCTGAGTGTGTTTTGAGTCCTTTCACAAAAGGCGGTGAGCAACTATTTCCCATAGTGAGACATTTCCTAACTGCTTCAGTTGATAAATCTAGATTCGGAAGAGATTTTGCTTCTATGATCAATAAATCTAAGTCACCATGTAAGAAAACTGTTTCTTTGTTATAATTTTCATGTTCCTTTTGAGACTTTTGTGGAACGTTTTCGCCACCACCTTGACTATGATCCATTTCAACGTTATAACTAACTCAAAAGATGTGATTGAACATTCCTAAACTACATAACTTATTTTTATTTACAGAAAATGAAAAGAAAATTCAAGATGCATAAGAGAAGAAGGTAATAATGATAGATGGATTGAGATATTAACAAACAAGGTTGATTCAAATTTCAATTGTGCAGGGAGAGGATGGTTGTACATCCATTGAAAGCAAGAGAGAGGTTTGGTAGGCCAAAAAGGATGTGAGGAATTGTAAAAGTTGGAAACTCTCTCTGTCTGTTGAGTTTTCAATTCCAAATTTGGAAAATTGAAAACGAAAAACATGCATGAGAGAAAGTAATAATATTAACAATTCTAAAAATAGTGTAGCATATCAAGATAAGTTATGTTGCACCTGCTTTCTTGGCCCGTCCGTCACTCCGCTTCTAAACAACTTCCACCGATGTATTACAACTGCTGCTCTCTCTGATATCTTGTCCCAAATCCAAAATATCATACCAAACATACTCCTTTCCTACACTGCATTTAATATCTCCGATGTTCCTACCCAACTAGTATCATAATTAGCTGCGGCTGAGGCTTCTGGTTGCGTGGGCCTCATGTTTTAATATCAAAATTTAAGCTAATTTCTCGTCTCACTCGTTATATCTAATCCACTTTTGAAAATTCAAAAATGTCTCTAGATAAATTTGGAGATGTATCTTCGAACACATCAAATTTTTTTATTTTTTAAATTTAGTTCGAAGATGCATCTCCGAATACAGCTCAATGGTAGATTCGGAATTGCATCTCCAAACTCACATTTGCTATATGAGAATCTCTTTTGCCTCCCAGAGATATTTTTGGATATGTATTTTCGAAAATATCAAGCGGAAATTTGAGTATGTGACCATCTTGCATGATCATCTCACTCTTTTAAACACTTTCAACTCCTCCATAACCAAAAAACCCTTGAAAAAAAATCTCATTATCAATCAATTTTTCAATTCAAAATCAGATTTTGTATATTTTAACACATCAAAGGGAGCATCATAAGCTATAATTTATGGTAAAGTTCACTAAATATAAGGTAATTTCATCCCTCATTGCTTGCATGGATCTTTAGTTTGAGTGAAAAAAATGTTCGCTTTGTTTGGAAATATATTTTCGAACTCACCTACATTATTTCATAAGTGCATATATTTGAACTCAAATGTTACTGGTTTTTAAAATTTTTATTGTTTTGCTTCTTATTAGATATGGCTCACCCGAATGTGTTTTCCAAAATAGATATATGTAACGATGTAGAACAAGATGTAGCTAAGGATAATGGTAAACCAATTGAAGTTAAGTAGGACATTAAATCGGAAAAAATAAAAGATGACGTTAAAGTGATAGAGATAGATGTTGGTCAATCTTTTATAAGTGAACAACTGTATACTGCTCGCGGACATATGTTTCAATGGGTCCGTATGGTAGCCAGAAATTTGGGGTTTGGCATTGTAATTGGAAGGTCTGACAATGGTTCAAATAGAAGATAACCATTTGTAACCATGATATGCGAGACAAGTGGCACGTATGTTCCCCCGATTCAGAAGTTGAAACGTGATGACACCAAAATGAGAAAATGTGGTTGTCTGTTTAAACTGTGTGGATATTGTAGCGTCAATGAGATGTGAAAATTTAATGTGCTTTATGGAATACATAACCATGAATTGCAAACAAAGTTAGTCGACCATCCCATCGTATGTCGTCTTAAACCGGAAGAGAATGAAATTTTTTCAAACATATCTTTAATCAGAGTGGCGCCGAAAAACATACTTGCGGATTTGAAATGGAAACACTCAAAAAGTGTTTCAAATATCAAGCAGGTATATAATCAGCGTCATAGAAACAACATGGAGATAAGGGGTCCAAGATCCGAAATGCAACAACTTTTGAAACTTTTGGATTAAAACCACTATGTTTCTAGGTACGCAATATGTGATGATAAAGTCACTGTTCGTGACATTTTCTGGACTCATCCCGAAAGTATCAAGTTGTTCAACACATTTCCTACTGTCCTCATTATTGATGCAACGTACAAGACCAACAAGTACAGGTTTTTACTTCTTGAAGTCGTTGGTGTTACTTCTATGGAGAATACTTTTTCAGTTGGATTTTTATTTTTGAAATCCGAAAAAGAAGTCAATATTACATGGGCCTTTCAAGTGTGCAAGACTTTGTTGAAGGATAAAAAAAATATGTCGAAGGTAATTGTCACCGATCGAGACACCGGACTAATGAATTTGTTTGCAAAGGTGTTTCCTACATCATATGCATTACTTTGTCGATAACACGTTACAAAAAATGTGAGGAGTCGGCTAAAACTCGTTGTAGGCACCAAACAAATCAAAGGTGATGACAGAAAAATGGTCAAATCAAGTATGGTGGTGGAAAATATTATGGATGCATGAACTGGTATATTAAATTCATTCACAGAAGAATTGTATGTTGCCTCCGTAATGCAATTTAGGAGCATGTGTGCCTGATATTCAGATTTCTTGAAATACGTTGACAGTACTATTTTGGACCAAGTGAAGGAGAAGATTATATGTGCATGGACCGACCAAATTAGACACCTCGGCACTACAACAACTAACAAAGTTGAATCAACACATTCAATATTGAAGAAATGGTTGGATGATAGTAAGGGTGATTTCTGTAGAGATTGGAACGGGTGCACCAAATGCTCCAAAACCAACATTCAAAAATACAAACCACTTTTGACCGAAGCATAACGGTGCAAGAACATAGATTCAAAAACAACATTCTCTATTCACAATTGGTTGGATGTGAATCTTGGTGGGTATTGAATTTCATCTTTCACGAAGTGAAGCAAGCAGAAAAGACAAGTACGGATACGACAAAGTATGGATGTACAATTAGAAAGACTTATGGTCTTCCATGTGCTTGTCTCATTGCAAAAAAAATCAAATATTAATTCACTGATACGTATGGATGAAGTGTACAGTCACTAGAAAAGACTCTGGTTTGATGATGATGGTGTGATTAATTATGGTAAAGCATGTATAAGCATCCAGACCGAGTGGGAAATAATCCAAGACAGATTTGCGAAGGCAGATGACACCATGAAATTGCATATCAAAGAGCAATTGAGGAAGATTGCGTATCCGAAAATCATAGATTTGAAACCTCCTTCACAACCGGTTAAAACCAAAGATGCCCCTAAAAAGTAAAATCGACTCAAGATGACAATTCAACAAAACAGTCTCCATCGTACTTTGAACATGTTGATTCATATTTTCCAGATTCTCCAACTTTAAAATCTCAAAAAAAAAATATATTCAAAAGGGTGCTTGCATTAGCAAACCACCTCCTCCACCGCCAATTTCTGGGATTGAATTCATTGATGAGATGTCGTTTTTTATGCGCACACATTGAGCGGATTGTGAATGTTGGTGATAATGGTATTTGCGGTTATCGGACTGTATCTAGATTGCTTGGTAAATCAGAGGAGGATCACCCACTTTTCCGCGTCGCACTTTTGAAAGAGTTGGCCTTACTTCCTATCTGGATTATTTGGACTCCATCTAAGATGGTAGTGTTTTCTTGGCCGATTTTAAAAAATTGATTCCTCTTTAGAGATAGTTTATTTAAGAAGAGGGTGGTTGTGGATTGAGATTGAGTTTCATACCGTGTGTGTAGGAGTTTAATTGAGTCGATTTCTCATCTTTTTTTACAAGTGATTTAGTTGTGGTTGTGTAATATAAAATGTTTAAGTGGTTGAACTGACAAATGGTTCTTCTTAATGATCTTGAACTTTTTTAAAGTTTTTTTTCTCCTTAAGTGGCAGGAGAGAAAAATGGAGGGAAAAAATGGTGAAAATGGTAGGAGAGCAATTGAGTATACTATAATTTGATTTGCTCGAAATAGTAATATTCTACTTTGAAAATGATTTTTAAACAGATATGGATATTTTCTCCCGTTGATTTTAGAACCTTATCTTTTATCTTAAAAAGTGATGATGGCATTAAAAAAGTGAGATTTAATTTGATTTCCCTTGAGTTGGAGTTTTTAACTGTTTAGCTTTCTCTTACTTTGTTTCACCATATTCTCCAAGATTTTTTGGATGCTTTCATGTTTTTTTTTTTACAATGATCAGTTTAGTAGATCTTGTACTTTATGATTTTATTATTATGTACTGCAAATTTATTCATATTTTTAATAAATTATTTTGTTATTAAATTTTTTTATCGTTTTAACAATTCTTTTATATTTTTTATTCAACTAGTAAATTTTAATTAAATCATTTAAAAAAATTTAAAAAATATATTTCCTTTTTAAATTCTCTCATTATCCAAACACACTCTTAAAATGTATCTTTCATCAAAGACATGATTTAATGATGAATGTAACTAGTGAAATTTATGGAAAAAAAGTCTTATAACTAGTGAATATTAACATGTTTATTTCAGAGCTAGTTACACAAATAAACTACGTATGAGCTTTGAATGGTTGAACCACTGCCAAAATCTATGCATAAAAAACTCCAACATTACTGTCAAAATCAATACGTATTCAATGCCTTGATCAATACGAAGAGGGAAGAAGAGAAAGAAAAACAAAGAGATTTAAAGCAACTCACTTAATATTCATCAGTGTAACTAACCCATTCTTCACAAAGCAACGGAAACAAAAACAGATGACAGAACAGCTAGATAAAGTTAACATAGTAACAATCCACAAAAACAATAATTTATAGAAGAAAAAAACACACAAATATCATGTTTAAGAAACAAGTTCTTCCTCCTTGTGTGTCTCAATAACAATATCCGAACGAGGGTAGGCGACACATGTGAGAACAAACCCAGCTGCTAACTGATCATCATCAAGGAAGCTATTATCTGAATTATCCACTTCCCCTTGTGTAACTTTTCCAGCACACGAAGAACAAGCACCGGCCCTGCACGAGTATGGAAGATCAAGGCCTTGTTCCTCGGCCGCGTCAAGAATATACTCATTATCTGGGCAGGAAATTTCTTTAGTTCCTTCAGGGGTGATGAGCTTGATTTTGTAAGTGGCCATGGCAGTGATACGACTTCCGCGTCCGGCTTTCAAACCGAATAGAGCCTGACCCATGTTAGGGAATGCTGTTAAGCTTGTGTTAATCGGCTGCCTTCGGATGAAAGAGGCACTCGCCATTGTTCCTGAGAGGGCTGCTGTGGTGGTGGCCATGACTTTAGTGGTGGTGCAAAAGTGTGTGTAGTAGATGAAACCAAACAGAGATAGGAATTGTTTATATGAATGATAGTGTGTTCACAACATGTAAAATGGTATCCTATCTGCCACGTGGCAGCATTTCGTTAGTTGTTTTGTTATCTCTACTTATTACCATTGGTTGATGTGATTGTGGTAGGCACAAACACAATCTTCTTCCACAAGTTTCCAGAGCCAACCAAAGTTATCCCATACAAAATTTGAATTAAGTTTCTGGCTCATTTTGTAAATAATATTTATTTTAAGCACATTATATGTATCCAACAAAATAATTCTAAAAACAGAGGAGCTTCCATTGAATATTTGTGATGTTTATATTTTTATGGGATATTCTGAACTGAAGGATGTCACATTAAATTATATTCGATGCAGGCAATAATTGAAATTTAAACATGAAAGAAGCATATAAGAATGATATTCAAATTTTCATACAAAATTCATTTTTCAGACTTCTTCCCCCTCTTTACATTACATTGGATAATTGAAACTTTAAACCATGTTGGGGGAATAAGACACAAGTCCTTCAATGGGGGTCCTATTTTATAAAGGGATGAAACAGTAACGAGAGTCCGATATTGTACTAAATCTAAAATTATAAAGACAGTCTTATACAGCCGGGGGAAAAACCTCGGGGCTTCCCCAATGTAGAAAAAGAATACACCCTCATCCTCAAAACCCTGCAATTCTTCTACCTGTAAACTTCGTTAGGTTCCCCCACAATGACCAGAGGCTTCATCCAAGAATTTATTGTCTCCGGCAACAAACCTCTGGAAGATCTCAGGTCTAACTCAGAAAACCTTAATCGCACTTGATGTTTCTGTAGATCCTCCTCACAAACAAATTTGAACCGAGAAAACCTACAGCTCCTGCACATTAGAAGAAAAACGCTCAACTGAGTTCAGGTGATAAGACATCACATATCTGCAGGAATAAAATCTAAAATGAAACTGGAGAATTACCGCATAGAATTCCTAGTCCAAGAGAAAACATCAAAGTGTATCCAAAATAGAAGCTGGTTTGGAAGAACCCTGACATCTTTGTCTTCACGTAGTAATAATATATTGAGTACAGATACACATAAACTGATGTTGAGGCAGCTGAAAAGAAAGAAGTCCATTGCCAGTGGTAGTTCTCGGCATTTAACAAAAAGTATGTCCCAACAATTGTCACACAAACAGTAACGATGGTGAGAATCAGAAAAACCAGTAGCATAAAGCCATATACATAGTACACCTGTTTGTCACAAAGGAAGAAAAAATATATAAGCCAACAATGCGTGTGTTCTCACCAGTTTCACTTGAAATCCAAACATATTTATTGAAAAGAACCTTTATAATTAAAACACAAGTTATAGTGTTGAAGTTCACCTTGTAATTCCAGAAGGAAGTAAATACAAAATACATTTCAATAAATATACTGCCAAAGGGTAACAATCCTCCCATCAGAGAAACCACTGAAGGTGTGAGGTACCACTTTTTCTCAGGAATGGGACGAGGGATAGTTTTTACACGACATGGATTATTTGGAGCACCACTCCAGTTTCTTCCAACAACTGTGCCAAGAAGTGCTAGAGGAAAAGAGATGAAACCCCAAATGACAAAAACAACCACCATTGTGCCAAATGGAATAGCCGCTAGAGACCCATAGAATATAGCAATAGTGTTTAGGACAAATCCAATTTCAAAGCATGTAAATGGGAACAAAGAAGCTGTAAGGATCATGGATTTAATCCAGCTTTTACCTAACAAACAAATCAAAATAGTTAGTCATTCAAAACCAGAGAGCACTGCTACAAAGCCACACAAGAAGAAAAAAAACTTCAATGAGATTCCTACCCCCATTTCGTGAGTACATTCCCCCACTCACATAACCAGAAATGAATGATGTGAGAGCATAACAAACAATGAAGGTTGTGACAATTGCTCCTCGCCTGAGACACAATTAAGATGATATTAGCTGACAGTGAATGAAAAGCAAGGGACTAACATTATGAAGTCCATTACAAAAAACTAGAAAAACACATAAATAACTGAGATAAGCAAGCAGGGTTTGCCATGCACTACAATATCACTGAATCATTATTTAGACTATTGTTGCATTCAGTTGAAGGTTATGCACATACCCGACATACAACATCCCAATAATAGCCAGCAAGATGACAATAAAAACCAGCAATGCTAGCTGAGCACCTGTGCCAACTACAGCTGAAAGAATAACTAAATAGCGAGGAGGCCGAAAAACATCACCATGCACAAGTTTCCAGCCAGATTCTTCACTAACGTCTCTCTCCTGTAAGCACGTAATGACCAAAACTGATGATTAGAAAAAACTATTTCCTAGAAATTGTTCATATTCCATAAATAAGAACAGATAAAACTTGTAAAACCATCACCAGAGATTCCAAATCATCATCTTCCCGAGCATATTTTGCATAGTCATTTCTTAGAGTTCGCATTAATATCATTGATACCAACCCAGTAAGGAAGATGACCATCATAAAAGAGTTGAAAATGGAGAACCAATGAATCTATGAGACAGAAAGGAGGAGCAAAACTCAGTCAGAGCTAAGGTGGGAGCAATATGATAAACACAACAATTACCCAAAAATAAATATTTACATATTTTTAAAAACGCTGTACCTGATGCTCAAAGAAAGGATAGTCAAGGTAGACATCAAAGCGGCGCCCAAAAGTGACATTAGTAGGGATCCATTTGACAGAATATGTCAAATCCAAATGTTTTCCTGCCTCCAAAGGCTTTGGGATATCTTGAGTGAGATTTACATGAATGATCTGCAAGGAGAGAGACCTAAATATGAAACTTCATGGATCTCAAAAACCCTTATAAGTTATAAGAAAGGGTAAGATATGTAAATAACTTCTGACCTGATCGTTATTGTATTTAACAATAATGTTCTTGTGTGTGTAAAGAACATGCTTGCCATTATCACTTTTCTTATCAGGATGTAGCTCGCCAACATATCCTTAAACAAGAAAAATAGAAATATCTTTTGTAATGATGAACAAATGAAATACAGTATCATGCCAAGTAAAGAGAAAGAGGCAGTTCTAGGCATACCCCACAAAGGCAGATCATCTGAATTTGTATTTACCCCATTGCAGAGCAGACCAAAGGAAATAACAAATAAAAACAAGTGAGTTATTCAGCAAAAAAGGAAACAAAAACTAGGAATGAAAAAATTTAAAACAAGGAATGAGGATCAACCAGCCGAAAACCCCCTCACTCATAACATTATGACAACAAAGAAGATATAACATCAATTCCATTACCAAACAAACACTCAGTTAGTTATTGAATTTGAAAATGCTTTAGCAATGACTTCACACGGAATTCTTAATTCAATACTCGTCAGCTCTAGAGGTTATAATACTGAATACTAACACTCAATGAGGCATTCTAGAATAGTTAAGAAACAACCTCACATAAAGATTCTGTAACTTTAAACTTCTCTCTCTCAAAACCATATAGATAAATGACATCATGTAGATAGTAAGCTGTGAGCATAACTTCATACTTATTTGACAATCATTGGCATCATTATTGTTGGAATTTCCGCCTTAATTGCGGTCCGCCCCTAGTCGCCTTAATTGCAGCCCCCAACACCTTCATTGTGTTGGCTTTGAAGGGGTGGAATTGGTCCCAAGTTGCTTAGAGATATGGCCTAAAGTGTGTTTATAAGGGGGGGCAATCCTCACCTTACAAGCCGGTTTTGTAGGGATGAGTTAGGTCCAACCCAAATTCTTGATAGTTATCAACAGTAAGCTATCAGTGTGGTTGAATGAGATAGTGATGCCCAGTCTCAGATCCAGGTAGTGACTGTCTTGCTCCAGACGCCTAAGCATTATTGTATATAATTCAGTTAGCACGTGATAACTGAAGAGATCTGAGCCTGGGTGTTACTATCTTCCTGATTCAAGTCAAGACCACTTCATGGCTACATGAATCAAGTAACATCATAATGTCCTATTATTAGTCAAAAGCAGTAAAAAGGCAATGAAACAAAAAAAAAAGATTTAGTCTTCATGTCAAGACTACTTCATGTTTTTTTAGTCTTCTCTTGGATTGATTAGAAGATTTTATGACCTATAACTACTGCCAGCCTCTTCTAGTGAGATCTCCCTGATGTTGATTCTAAGGTTGTAAAATAATTCATTCAATTGGATCGCGAAGACGGAAAGGGGCCGTATCCTCTGAATGGAAAAATTATTTACATCAACTTCTATAGTTTGTACTCTTGCTCAATTGGGTTTGTAGAAGTTTTTGCTAAAAAAATTTTGTATACTTTAACATTCTTCAAAGATCCTAACAGTTATTAGGCTAGATATCAAGGAAAATGCATTCTGGCATAGTGGCATCAAATAATGTGCCCTTTTTATAAATAAATGGAAACACTGTTTTATTTATTTATAGCAATGTTTTTTTCATGTTCTTTCCCTTAAATGGCCGTTTCTGCTTTAAGTGTTTTCTGTCCCTTTCTGTTATTTTTGCCTTGTTACTATTATCCTTCACAGTTTACCGACAAAAGAAAATTTTCATGCTGGCCTTCGACATTTTTTACTCAACCTTTTAACATTTGTTGAAAGTACAATCATTATAAAATTTCTCAGAATATCAATTGCAAGAAAAATACAAAACATACCCATGAAAAATTCAAACCAGTAATTATTCTCTATTGCATCCTTGAACTGTTTAACCTTTGCATCCTCCAGATCTATCTGGCAAAAGACAGTCTTATCCACATTTTCTGAAAAAAGAGTATTTGTTAAAGCTGGTTTCTTTGTTGACAGCTCTTCTATAAAATAAATAGTACAAGATAAGTATTCATACTTAGGAACTTTATATCAATTTGGCTATCAATGAGTTCATTGCCACCCAGGACCTCACCAAGACCACCCCATTTGTGTGCAGCGGTAGAAGTACTAGATGGATGGCAAAAT